TAGACAAACACAAAACGTCCCGTGTAGACAAACACAAAACGTCCCGTGAAGACAAACACAAAACGTCACATGTAGATAAATACAAAACGTAACATGTAGACAAACACAAAACGTCACATGTAGACAAACACAAAAAGACCAATGTAGACAAATACAAAACGTCCCGTGTAGACAAACACAAAACGTCACATGGAGACAAACACAAAAAGACCAATGTAGACAAACACAAAACGTCCCATGTAGACAAACACAAAACGTCTCGTGTAGACAAACACAAAACGTCACATGTAGATAAATACAAAACGTAACATGTAGACAAACACAAAACGTCACATGTAGACAAACACAAAACGTCTCATATAGATGAACACAAAACGTCACATGTAGACAAACACAAAACGTCACATGTAGACAAACACAAAACGTCTCATGTAGACAAACACAAAACGTCACATGTAGACAAACACAAAACGTCACATGTAGACAAACACAAAACGTCACATGTAGACAAACACAAAACGTCACATGTAGACAAACACAAAACGTCACATGTAGACAAACACAAAACGTCACATGTAGACAAACACAAAACGTCACATGTAGACAAACACAAAACGTCACATGTAGACAAACACAAAACGTCACATGTAGACAAACACAAAACGTCACATGTAGACAAACACAAAACGTCACATGTAGACAAACACAAAACGTCACATGTAGACAAACACAAAACGTCACATGTAGACAAACACAAAACGTCACATGTAGACAAACACAAAACGTTCCATGTAGACAAACACAAAACGTCCCGTGTAGACAAACACAAAACGTCACATGTAGACAAACACAAAACGTCACATGTACACAAACACAAAACGTCTCATATAGATAAACACAAAACGTCACATGTAGACAAACACAAAACGTCACATGTAGACAAACACAAAACGTCACATGTAGACAAACACAAAACGTCTCATATAGATGAACACAAAACGTCAAATGTAGACAAACACAAAACGTCACATGTAGACAAACACAAAACGTCACATGTAGACAAACACAAAACGTCACATGTAGACAAACACAAAACGTCACATGTAGACAAACACAAAACAAACACAAAACGTCACATGTAGACAAACACAAAACGTCACATGTAGACAAACACAAAACGTCACATGTAGACAAACACAAAACGTCACATGTAGACAAACACAAAACGTCACATGTAGACAAACACAAAACGTCACATGTAGACAAACACAAAACGTCACATATAGACAAACACAAAACGTCCCATGTAGACAAACACAAAACGTCACATGCAGATAAATACAAAACGTAACATGTAGACAAACACAAAACGTTTCATATAGACAAACACAAAACCTCTCATGTAGACAAACACAAAACGTCTCATGTAGACAAATACAAAACGTACAATGTAGACAAACACAAAACGTCACATGTAGACAAACACAAAACGTCACATGTAGACAAACACAAAACGTCACATGTAGACAAACACAAAACGTCCCATGTAGACAAACACAAAACGTCACATGTAGACAAACACAAAACGTACCATGTAGACGAACACAAAACGTCTCGTGTAGACAAACACAAAATGTCTGATGTAGACAAACACAAAACGTCTCATGTAGACAAACACAAAAAAACGACAAACACAAAACGTCATGTAGACAAACACAAAACGTCACATGTAGACAAACACAAAACATCACATGTAGACAAACACAAAACGTCACATGTAGACAAACACAAAACGTCATGTAGACAAACACATGTAGACAAACACAAAACGTCACATGTAGACAAACACAAAACGTCACATGTAGACAAACACAAAACGTCACATGTAGACAAACACAAAACGTCTGATGTAGACAAACACAAAACGTCTCATGTAGACAAACACAAAACGTCACATGTAGACAAACACAAAACGTCCCGTGTAGACAAACACAAAACGTCACATGTAGACAAACACAAAACGTCACATGTAGACAAACACCTGTGTAGACAAACACAAAACGTCACATGTAGACAAACACAAAACGTCACATGTAGACAAAAACAAAACGTCACATGTAGACAAACACAAAACGTCACATGTAGACAAACACAAAAACGTAGACAAACACAAAACGTCACATGTAGACAAACACAAAACGTCACATGTAGACAAACACAAAACGTCACATGTAGACAAACACAAAACGTCCCTTGTAGACAAACACAAAACGTCTCATGTAGACAAACACAAAACGTCACATGTAGACAAACACAAAACGTCACATGTAGACAAACACAAAACGTCTCATATAGATAAACACAAAACTTCACATGTAGACAAACACAAAACGTCACATGTAGACAAACACAAAACGTCACATGTAGACAAACACAAAACGTCACATATAGACAAACACAAAACGTCTCATGTAGACAAACACAAAACGTCACATGTAGACAAACACAAAACGTCCCGTGTAGACAAACACAAAACGTCACATGCAGATAAATACAAAACGTAACATGTAGACAAACACAAAACGTCACATGTAGACAAACACAAAACGTACCATGTAGACGAACACAAAACGTCTCGTGTAGACAAACACAAAATGTCTGATGTAGACAAACACAAAGCGTCTCATGTAGACAAATACAAAACGTCCCGTGTAGACAAACACAAAACGTCACATGGAGACAAACACAAAAAGACCAATGTAGACAAACACAAAACGTCACATGTAGACAAACACAAAACGTCTGATGTAGACAAATACAAAACGTACAATGTAGACAAACACAAAACGTTCCATGTAGACAAACACAAAACGTACAATGTAGACAAACACAAAATGTCTCATGTAGACAAACACAAAACGTCTGATGTAGACAACCACAAAACGTCTCATGTAGACAAACACAAAACGTCCCATGTAGACAAACACAAAACGTCACATGTAGACAAACACAAAACGTCACATGTAGACAAACACAAAACGTCACATGTAGACAAACACAAAACGTCTCATGTAGACAAACACAAAACGTCACATGTAGACAAACACAAAACGTCACATGTAGATAAATACAAAACGTAACATGTAGACAAACACAAAACGTCCCATGCAGACAAACACAAAACGTCCTATGTAGACAAACACAAAACGTCACATGTAGACAAACACAAAACGTCACATGTAGACAAACACAAAACGTCACATGTAGACAAACACAAAACGTCCCATGCAGACAAACACAAAACGTCCTGTGTAGACAAACACAAAACGTCACATGTAGACAAACACAAAACGTCACATGTAGACAAACACAAAACGTCACATATAGACAAACACAAAACGTCACATGTAGACAAACACAAAACGTCACATGTAGACAAACACAAAACGTCTCGTGTAGACAAACACAAAACGTCACATGGAGACAAACACAAAAAGACCAATGTAGACAAACACAAAACGTCCCATGTAGACAAACACAAAACGTCACATGTAGACAAACACAAAACGTTCCATGTAGACAAACACAAAACGTCCCGTGTAGACAAACACAAAACGTCCCGTGAAGACAAACACAAAACGTCACATGTAGACAAACACAAAACGTCACATGTAGACAAACACAAAACGTCTCATATAGATGAACACAAAACGTCACATGTAGACAAACACAAAACGTCACATGTAGACAAACACAAAACGTCCCGTGTAGACAAACACAAAACGTTTCATGTAGACAAACACAAAACGTTTCATGTAGACAAACACAAAACGTATGTAGACAAAACAAAACTAGACAAACAAAATGTAGACAAACACAAAATTACAAAGACAAACACAAAACGTAGACAAACACAAAACGTCACATGTAGACAAACACCATAAAACACAAAACGATAGCTATCCCATTTGTAGACAAACACAAAATGTCACTCAATAATTCATATTAATTGAACACTTTATTAGCCAAATACAACATATTGAAACTGAGAAATAGATTACAAAGCCAAAAAGGTCCATAATCTATAAATAGAACCTACCTCATTACCAGGAAAAGGACATTTCGATAAAGGGACATAATTATTTCATCGAGAAGAACTCTTCAGTGTTTGCACAACAATGACGGCGTGTTTCGTAACTTAGTGTACTATATCGTTTTGAAAATATGCTTATTTAGCTACAATTTAACGAGAGCAGTTTATTACTGTTGTCTTATCTAGTACTTGTAAATGTAATGTAGTGTTTGAAAGCCATATGTTCATCTTTATTTCACCAACTGGGTTTGAATGGTGAGTCAAAGACAAGGTGTATTGACGTAAAGTATATTTGACAGCCGATACAGTTCAAGTTGTTTCTGTTGGAATCCATCTTATAATCAAACAAGTTTCAGAGAACTACACAGAAACGTTGCATTGTAATGTTAGTTATGATGTTAGGTTATAAAATTTAAGGATGAATGAACACCACATAGATAAATGTCACTCTAAATTGTATCTCAATTAGGGTTATATTAATTATTTCATTTACAAAAGTGATTGCATTGCAGTTTTAGACGAGGACAATGTCAGTGTTTTCAAAACATTAAAAAAATAACACACCAAAATATAGTACATTTGTACATCACTAATATATTAAAATGTATTTGTTACTTGCTCTAGAGGAATATACTTATACAATGTACTTGTATTAACACATTGTAAATCTTGGATGAGTAGCTAAAATGAGGAAAATAGAATTAAATAACTCTGCTGGTGTAAATTGATTAAAACACAAAATATTTTTTCTTTGATTTTGAACAATAGTTATAAAGACTAGTCTTCTGTTTCTTAATTCTTGGGTACTGTTTGCTTGATCTATAATCAGTAAATTACAAGGTTTGTAGAATTAGGAACAGAATCTATTTTTGTTTTGTTTCTTTTGTTTTGTCAGAAATCATTCAAGATGAGTGAAAGAACTGAGGAGATCATATCAAGAGGGAGGGATTTCCTACGCTTTCTTGAGACACAAGGCCAACAACTAAACTACTTGACAGAGACAGATTTACAGAGAATCTATGATAGCGATTATTTAAAATATCGTAGTCAAATTTACCCGACTGAATCTACCATTCATTTTAATGCAGTGTTTCAGACACTCTTGATTCATCAAAGCCACTTCGAAAATGATAGTGTCTCAACACAAAGCATGATATCAAGTAGTGACCCACAACAGTATTTGTATGACAACTCAGAGGCTTCAGGTTTTCATCCCATGCAGCAAACATTTTTAAACTTTTCAAGCCCAGGGCCATCAGGAGCAGCTTTTCAATCTGAAAAACATGACATTTCAAGTGAAAGAGGTGCAAAACCAAAAAGGAAAAGGCATCAAGTAAAGCTATTAGCAGTAGACCAACATATCGTCTTTCATAAAGCATCCTCAGGACCTCTCAATTCAGTCAACACTGATTTCAGTGAAAATTTGGCAGCATCTCATCATCCTATTGTGGCTAATCTTCCTGAATATGTGCTTATGAAAAGTCAGTTATATGAATGTTCTCCATGTGGGGCAAAATGTACATCAGTAGGCGAGCTTTATCGTCATCTGGAGGGTCGACGTCACAGACTCAGTGTTATTACAATGAAATTGAAATCAGAGAGGTGAGTTAGAAATATGATGGCAGTTTTTCAGAAGAGTTTACATGTATGAAGTCAATGTGATTGTAGAGTTTTCAGTCTCAGTTGTAGGCAACTTGTGTCAGATATTTAAACTAGAACAGTGTAATTGTAAAATAATTTATTATTTAGGAGCAGGTCTTGATTACTAAATTTTCTGATGTTGACTTATTAAGTAGCATGCCACATATTTTGTTATGGAAGATGATAACTGGGCCAGTAAGTTGTTGGCCTTACTGCAACCTGAGGTGAAGGTCCAAGGTGTGATGTAAAACTTCCTATCTGTTCATGTCTGTTTCTCTGTAAGCTGCTGTCATGTTCCATGGACAAGACATGTTACTTAAATTACTCTGGTTGTCTTGTGATTGACATCCCCTGTGGAGTTTACTGAGGTAGCCATCAGCTACTACAAGAATACCCCACCTCTGAAAAATTTTAGCATTTTCAAATTCCAGACATTTAGCCAGTTGTTTGAAGTATAATATTATTTATCATTTCTTTTGTGATATATAGATAATGTAATGATAAATGTTTTATCAGATTTATAAATACAAAATCATTGTCAAATAATGCAGCAAACTTTATGTTAGTGACTATACACAAGTCCAATGGGAATCATTTTCTCTTTGTCTTAAACCTTAAGTCCCTGAATGAGCTTAACAATTTACATTTATTATAAATATCTGCCAAAATACACTCATTTTAAGATATCTTTTCTCTATTTAGACTAAGACAGAGATGAGCGTTTTCAAACTTTGTCTATTTTCATGTTTTGTGAACTGAGAATCTGATACAAGACAAATTCTCTATTTAGACTAAGACAGAGATGAGTGTTTTCAAACTTTGTCTATTTTCATGTTTTGTGAACTGAGAATCTGATACAGGACAAATTCTCTATTTAGACTAAGACAGAGATGAGTGTTTTCAAACTTTGTCTATTTTCATGTTTTGTGAACTGAGAATCTGATACAGGACAAATTCTCTATTTAGACTAAGACAGAGATGAGCGTTTTCAAACTTTGTCTATTTTCATGTTTTGTGAACTGAGAATCTGATACAGGACAAATTCTCTATTTAGACTAAGACAGAGATGAGCGTTTTCAAACTTTGTCTATTTTTATGTTGTGCAAAGGGAGAATCTGATACAGGACAAACATAACATAAAGATAACTGCAGACTGTGAGGGTAAAAATGGCACCTACTTCATCGACCTGAGAGAAGGTGTGGAAACCAACATCATCATAACCATCAAAAATGTCTCGTCCTCCGACATGGTTGAGCTTGTTCATTGTGAAATGCTCAAGAGAATCCGAGTATTTACTTTGTTTGATGAGAAAGGTGTCACAGAGCAGCAAAACAAAGTCACAATATTACCAGGTAAGCTGACTGAGTGGAGATTAATGCTTACTAGATGAAGAAACATGACAGAGAAAAACAGATATGTTAAGATCAACTTAGCCCCTAAACAGCTGTATGATAATGATAAAAAAGAAATGTTTAGAAAGCAATCTCCATACACATGAATGTGTTTGAGGATACAAATGTTATCATAGCTAAATATCTGTAGTTATACTGTGAAAAAAACCAAACAAAAACCATAAAAAAGAGGTCCTTGGTCAAGGCAGTTGGGACTGAATTTTAGGTCAGATAATGTTCATGTCCTTCGATGCAATTTGGTAGCTCAGTAGTTCTAAATGCTGTATTTTATACTTAGAGGTCACAGTGTCTGCTTCAGACAGGAAGCTTATCTGTTTATGATTTGGTAATATTTGATAAGTGAACTTTGGAGTCATTTATTTTTATTCTAATATGATTGAAATAATCTCCCTTTCTTGGCAGCTGAACTGAAACCCTAATTTAGGTGATCAGAAGATATTTAAGAGGGCCCAATTTTCAATTTATACATACTCATTTTTCAGGTGTCACAATATTCAGTGTTTATAAATGATATGTTTGAATTGAATATTTTGTTTCTGTTGCTTTTTAAGACTCAACGTACAAGGTCAAGGTAACGGCCATGGCTAAAAATGTTGGGAACTACCATACGCCACTGGGGTTCCATTTTATGCTTGATGGAAATGAATTCCACATTGTCAAGTTCCTCCATGCCAGATGCAAAAATTCCATTACAGATCAGGTGAAATCCTCAAAACCATACAAACATCCACCTCGACAGTCGAAGCGGAGAGAGGCTTTGGAGATTGTGGAAGGCTACCCATTGCCAAAGTAAGGAAATGTGACATCAGAGGTCACAATGACTAGTCTACATTGTATTTTGTCCTTGGAAGAGTGTCCATTACCAAAGTAAGGAAATGTGACATTACATTACCACAGTGACCTAGTAAGGAAATGTGACATTACATTACCACAGTGACCTAGTAAGGAAATGTGACATTACATTACCACAGTGACCTAGTAAGGAAATGTGACTTTACATTACCACAGTGACCTAGTAAGGAAATGTGACATTACATTACCACAGTGACCTAGTAAGGAAATGTGACATTACATTACCACAGTGACCTAGTAAGGAAATGTGACATTACATTACCACAGTGACCTAGTAAGGAAATGTGACATTACATTACCACAGTGACCCAGTTCTTTACTCATGGTACTCTACATCCTGTTGTAAGTTTATTTTGCCATGTGCAAATTTGACCATTTCCTGTCAAAAGTTGAATATCTAATTTTAGCCATATTTTCACCATAGAAGAGTTGGAATTAAATCAGCCGATGTATCACTTTCTTGATGAAAATTTGCCAGTTCAATGTCAACCATATAACCTTATGGAAAAAAATTGTGAAAAATCAGACACTTGAAAAAAAAAACCCACACTACCAGGTGTAGGTTATATTAGGACACAGTGTATCTGTATTAAAAAAAAAGACAACATTCGATGGTGGTCATTTGCATCAATGAAATAAACCACATTTGTAGGAGATATATTAAAGGCTGGACATCCAAACAGTAGGGAACCGTATTGTCTTACTTACTTTAACTTTTGAACCACATTCAATGGACTCTACAAATATGTTTTAATGACAGAAATATATACATGATATTGAGTGAAATCTTGATAGTGTTGTATACAACTATTTAACAGGTACTCCTACAGAGTACATACACTATAATAACATGTTTATTTTTATCAGATGGACTGGAGACAACCTACCAAAGAAATTATCTCTAGACAGATATCGCATTCCAGGCCCTCTCAGGAAAATCATCAATCATGGCCTTCAGCTCAATCTGGAGAAATACAACGAAGCTGACAGGAATGAACTCTCTACGCTCAAGTCAGTACAATACCTTTATTTAAAGATAAAAGACTTTTTAGGGACGATGATGATAAACTTAATTTCTAAATGACATTCAATTACATGTGTATGCAAAGGTAATAGAAGAGAACGTCTCCCATGTGTTTGTGTTTCATGGTTCCAAGGTCAAGGTCACTTTTACTATTTGATATAAGATAGTCTGTTTAACTGGCACCACTTTAGTGTCTTCATCTCTAAATAACTTTTGGTCAAAGTATATTGTAAGAATATCATGAATGAGTGTGTTCAGGGCTCCATGGTCAAGGTCACTGTCATTTCTAAGAAATCACCAGCCTTTGTGGTGACATCACTTTAAGATGACTAGATATGCTCAGGGATTTTGATGATATAATGCAAATACCTCGGGTGTGTTTATACTTCAGGACTTCCGAGTCATGGTCACCATATGACTTTGTTAGACAAAGATTTGCATCGTATAGGAGGGCATTATTTTCTCTTTTTTACGTGTGTAATACTGGCCTATCGAGGAAAATATACCTAGGTTCTTTGTTCTTGTATTACACACCCACCAATACGTTACAGCCACGTACATAAAATGGGACGTGTCCCTTTCCAATTGATGTCACCACTTGATACAATGTATACACACATGTGTACCAATAATCATGTGCAGGGAAAGTTTATAGTTTGTTTAAATTTTCTAGGGAAAACTAGGGAAAATCTAAGTATTAATTTTCTATGTCAGTTTGTCGATTAATTGCATGATAAAAAATATGATTTTTGTGTAATATCACATCCTTTGTAGTACACTGTCAATATCTGCAGCAATTTTCCCCCAAAATTTCAGTACGAGAAATGAGAGAAGAATACTCTTTCAAATATCAGGGTGGATGATGGGATATTGAGAATAATTCAATCCTACACCTGGACATATGAAAGAGTCTGATAGTCTGATAAACCTTTTACAGCTAAAATAATTCAAACTAGCTGCTATATATTCTAGTTATAATTTTTCCTGCAGGAACATCCTTGAAATGCCACTCGACTTTGAAAGCTACGATAAAAGATTTTCGGCCTTGAATCACTTTGAGGAGACACAGATGGAGGTAGATATCCGTAAATATGATTTGGATGCTGTTACGATGAAAGAATGTCACAAAGATCGCAGATTGCTCATGCTTGAGGTAAGTAGAACTGGCTACTGCACAATTTAACTTTGATGCGTGATTTTTATGGAAATTTTGTCCTAAATTCATTTGATGATCCAAGGTATCTAGTTTATGCTGTTTCTCTGACAGCTTGTGTTTCTCAGGAAGCTGGTTGTTCTTCTGCATATTGATCAATGAGGGTAATCCATTAACAGCCACAAGAACCGACCTACCCTCAAATGGACTCTGACTGTCAAAGGGTGAAAACAAACTTAGGTCATAGTCATATGTCATAAAAACAGGTTATAAACAGATGCAATTAAAATATATCAGTTTTATCTTTCCATTGTAAAGAACTTCTTTTGATTAACTGGAAGGTCTAGAATCATTGTACATGTGTATTTGGTTGAGGGTTTTCTGAGATGAATTTGACAAAGTTGAGAAAAGAAATATCTTGACTCACATTCAAGGTTAGAGGGGTCAAATTTGTTAAAAACCTTCAAACAAGTTCTTCTCATTAACCAAAACTTTGAACATCAATGATATGAAATTTTGAGTTATGAAAAGCATAGAATACCAGGTGAACAATGCAGGTCCATTGGGCCTATTATAAATGGTTATAGGTACCCTGTCTGTCAGAGAATGGTTCGTTAGCTCTGATTGGTTGTTTTGATTTGATTGTAATTTTTTACAGGTTCCTGGTCTGTCAGAGAATCGTCCGTCCGTGCTGAGAGGTGATTGGCTGTATGTGAGAATTTGTACAGAAGGAAGCACTGCTGACAGGGAGTATCAGGGATATGTCCATGAGGTCAGGCTGAATGAACTCGCCCTCGGATTTAACAAACGGTGAGAAAAAATAAGGTATATGTCCTACACAAGGATGCGTCAGGCGCTCATTGTCTCATACAAAGTTTCCGATAGAAAGACACGCCATTTAGGAAGTTAGTGGTCACTGATCATGCTTCCTGAATATGACATGTTTATCACTCGAAGAAAATATTTGAACAAAGGAAATGTTTAGCTTATTGGAGTTGAAATGCTGTCAGGCTCTGGGGGTCGATACTTAAGAGTAATGGGGTTGAAAGATTGTCTTGTTCCAAGATCAGAACTTTCTCTTCATCGACAACTTTTTCTTTTTTTCAGATTGATGGATCAGTATGTCAGAGGCATGAAGTTCAATGTTCGATTTGTTTTTAATCGGCTACCTCTGCGACTCCAACACAGGGCAAGTTTGTTAGCAAAGGAAGAAGGACTTAAGGACTTTCTGTTTCCAACACCAGACACCATATGTAACCGAAAAATGAACATCTTACCTGAACGTCTCATGTGAGTAAGGATCCCTGCTGTGGATCTTATTGTTACATATGCAGCATGGTTGAAAGCAGGTGTCATCACTTCCATCCGGTCTGCTGCAGAACCACTAATTAGTCCTAGGATATGTACTGTACCTGTTTCCAATGGCCCCATTTGTCATAAGAAATTTCTTGTCATACCACATAAGGATATTTTGTAGTATTTATGTACAAATGGTAACAACAAGGATTCAACTCTGTTGTAAGATAACGAGAAATGAAAAACCCAGCTAACTTTGAAGTATTATCTATAAGAACATTCATTATAAAATCGTACGAACAGATGTATATAGAGTTGTTACTGATAATTTTGACAAGGCAGTGTTTCAGGATATTTCAGTCTGTGATATAGGACAACCAGGACTTATTAACACTTCAAACCAATATGGATTTGTACTCCTTTTTTGAACTTCCATAACTTGTTTTCCATCGGAACATATGTTAGAACAATTGCGAAAGATATTAGTTTATTTTCTAATGTTTTTCATGACATGTGGAAAAGACATAATTTTTTAACATCATTGTTGTTGTTATTTTTTTGTTATGGTTTGTACTTTAGATTTTTACAATTATCATATCTTTCCTAAATAAGCTTAGAGTAATAGCACTTGATTTCTCATTCAAAGTCTGGTGATGGGCTTATTACAAGGCAATGAATAACACTGGTTTGTAATTTCATTCATCAGCAATATCAAAGCTAGCAATAATAACAATGCAGAGTCTTCAGTGTTATACAGTGTGATCTTTTGAGTTATCAGGTGAGAAGTGTTTCCAATTATGTTGTAGACTATTCAACAAAGATTTGGAAAGTAATCCGGAACAGAGACGAGCCATAGAAAACATTGTTGCTGGGATATCGCGTCCAGCTCCGTACCTGGTGTTTGGGCCGCCAGGCACTGGTAAAACTGTCACCATTGTGGAAGCCATGATGCAGGTACAATAGCTGTCACCTTATGTCACAGGAGGCTGTTTAAATAATTACAAAATATTATCCTTATTGTTGGTTTTATCATTACAAAAATTATCTCAGATTTTGTTTTCTGCTGCTTAACACATAGTATATAAACCCAAAATGACACTATGGTGGTTGTTGGGGGTTGTCAACTGTAAACTAAACAACAGCTGCTACTCCTGTGAAAATACCCTGAATTACCAAAAGATCAGAATATAGTAAATATACTCTATATTGCCTGAAACATTCATTCTTTTTGTAGATGGTCATAGTCATATTTTTAGAGCAAGTAAAAAGTGGTTTAAGATAGAAGTTTTGTTGTGCAAAGTACAATATTATGCCAGTTGTTTGAAAAAATAAAAATAATTGTAGTTTGTAATAACTATTCAGTAAAGTTGATATTGTTTTCATCATAACACACTTACTAATTGAAATTATTTATGAGTTTACAGATTTGGAAGAACTTTAAGAAGTGTCGTATTTTAGCGTGTGCTCCGTCCAACAGTGCTGCCGATCTCATAGCTACTCGCCTTCTCAAGAATATTCCAAAAAATGACATAATTAGACTCAATGCATTCTCAAGGTCATGGGAACATATTCCTAGTGAAGTCAAGGTAAATATAATAAAATAAACAAAACAAGGTAAATAGGATTGAATAAACAAACCCAGGTAAAAACAAAAAAATAAACAACAAAATAAACCAATCAAGGAAAAAATGATTAAATAAACCAATCAAGGAAAAAATGATTAAATCAACCAATCAAGAAATAAATGATTAAATAAACCAATCAAGGAAAAAATGATTAAATAAACCAATCAAGGAAAAAATGATTAAATAAACCAATCAAGGAAAAAATGATAAAATAAACCAATCAAGGAATAAATAATTAAATAAACTTTAAGAAATAAATGATTAAATAAACCAATCAAGATTAAATAAACCAATCAAGGAATAAATGATTAAATAAACCAATCAAAGAAAAAATGATTAAATAAACCAATCAAAGAAAAAATGATTAAATAAACCAATCAAGGAATAAATGATTAAATAAACCAATCAAGGAATAAATGATTAAATAAACCAATCAAGGAATAAATGATTAAATAAACCAATCAAGGAAAAAATGATCAAATAAACCAATCAAGGAATAAATGATTAAATAAACCAATCAAGGAAAAAAATAATTAAATAAACTTTAAGAAATAAATGATTAAATAAACCAATCAAGGAATAAATGATTAAATAAACCAATCAAGGAAAAAATGATTAAATAAACCAATCAAAGAAAAAATAATCAAATAAACTTTAAGGAATAAATGATTAAATAAACCAATCAAGGAAAAAATGATAAAATAAACCAATCAAGGAAAAAATGATTAAATAAACCAATCAAGGAATAAATGATTAAATAAACCAATCAAGGAAAAAATTATTATATAAACCAATCAAGGAAAAAATGATCAAATAAACCAATCAAGGAATAAATGATAAAATAAACCAATCAAGGAAAAAATGATAAAATAAACCAATCAAGGAAAAATGATTATATAAACCAATCAAAGAAAAAATGATTAAATAAACCAATCAAGGAAAAAGATGATTAAATAAACCAATCAAGGAAAAAATAATTAAATAAACATTAGATAAACTAATTAAGGTAAATAAATGAAATAAAAAAACAACAATATCAACAATTCAAGGTAAAAATGGCAAAGTAAACAAATCCAGATAAGAATGATATAACTGTTTGCTGTTGATTTTAGCGTACATATCTGATTGAGAGTTTCTTCTTCTGATAGCCATGATAGATGTTGTTTTCTTCAGTACTTCATATTTTTATGTTTTCACTAAAACCTGAATACAGAAAGTTTGTATTATTTATGCTCCCCAAAGGGAGAGCATACAGATGCCACTGTGTCTGTTGGTCCGTCCATCATAATTTTGTCCGGAGCATAACACAAAAACCTATAAGAGTTATCAACATGAATTTCATTGGTAGATAGCAGTGCACAGGAAACATCACTCTCCTCTGCATAATTTAGGAGTTATTGCCCTTTGTTATTTTCATATTTATATTTTGTCCCTTTCGGGGAGTATAACATCTCTGACGGCCTTGTTTGCTGAAGTTATGAAATTGACTATTGTTTATTTACCTCAAAAATAGCAACAATTAACTGCTTAAAAGTAACAGCATGAAATCTATTTGTATTTGTGATTGTTTGACTTTTGAGACCCTAAAGATTTCTGGAATTACCATGATCTTTGACCTTTTGTAGGCTGTAAGTAATTACGACAATAGCAGAGGTCAATACTTCTATCCGGGCCAGGACACGATTGAGCAATACAAGATTATCGTTTGCACCCTCGTCACTGCTGGCAGGTAAGAATACGTACTGACCAATCAAACTTTCTTCTGTTTTCATATCCCTCATTTAGTAAAGATGAGTTGGGGTAAATATTTATTACTTTGTCTGTGAGGGTATTTGTGGATCTTGTTGTGTTGACATAGATATACAGGAAGATAAGAATATTGTCATGGATGATGATATCAGGACATAGAATACTTTGAAAGCTATAAAATGGGACACAACAAAAAGGTTTTCAATTATTACCTCTATTTTTTTGTATGTTTAGACTCGTGTCAGCCAATTTTCCATCTTGTCACTTTTCCCACATCTTTGTGGATGAATCTGGCCATGCTGTAGAACCCGAGTGCCTTATCCCACTGGCTGGAATCTTGACCATTGACCCACAGCTAGAGTGTGGTCAGGTGGTACTTGCTGGTGACCCTGAACAATTGGGTCCAATCCTTCGGTCACCATTTGCCATCCAGTATGAACTAGGTGAGTTGTTTCTTGACATACTATTAATAGGTACTATACAACTGTATACAGCAATACATGTAGTTAGACAGGTGACCTTTTTCAGCAGATCAGGGAATATACATGTAGTTAGATAGGTGACTCTGTACCTTTTTCAGCAGATCAGGGAATATACATGTAGCTAGACAGGTGACCTTTTTCAGCAGATCAGGGAATATAATCCTGCCACCAGGTAAAAGACGAGTGCAATACCACTGCACCACCCAACAAACCAAATATAATCTTTTGGGTTCTGAAGGGTTTAGAAACTTTTAAGATTCTTTTTGAGAATGCTAGTGTATCTGATACAGGAACTCTTGTGTCCACCTTTAGCGCTTCATGTCAAGCTTCCAAAATATATCTCAGTTGCTGTTTTATATACAAACATCAAACATGAAGGATAGATACAGCATGACAAAGTTACATATTCTATTGAAGTGACTGTCACCTCAGCTTCACCTGGCCTTAATTGTATTACTGAAAATTTCCTAAATACAAAACTATATATAAGCATATTTACAATCACTGTTACATGTAAGTTATGGTCACCAAACTTAGGAGGTAAAACATGAGAGTGTGATGTGTCATATATTAAAATGATGTCACTACAACCTCTTCTGGACCTTTGCTTTTAGTAATTAGAAATTGGTCAGTTGCTGCTTCATGTCTAGACAAGAAATTTAGGAAATAAGTACACAATGAACATGTGTTACATACCAGGTATTACTGTAATGTGGGGTCACAGCTTGACCTTTGATCTGGACAGAATATGAATAAAGAAAGGAAACGTAGCAGATATTGTTTTATGTTTGAAATAATGCCTTATTTATATAGAAAAAGTAGGTATATTAGGAGTTGTCTCCATAGGAACACTTTGGAGTGTAGAGGTACCTCCAAATTGTATAAAGTGATTGCTGCAAGCTAAATCTCTTTTCAATCTGTTAAGGAACTCTTATTTGGAGTGTAGAGGTACCTCCAAATGGTATAAAGTGATTGCTGCAAGCTGAATCTCTTTTCAATCTGTTTCAGGTGTATCTCTGTTACAGCGATACATGACAAAATGTGAAGTATATAGGAGAAGTGAATGTTGTACAGAAGGTGACACAGGCTATGATGAAAGGATTATAACTAAACTGCTGAAAAATTACCGTTCACATCCAGCAATTTTACACCTCCCAAACAATACTTTCTACGAGGGCGAATTGACCTGCTGTGCTGATAAAGTCAAAAGAGAAGCGTTTTGTGGTTGGGAAGATCTTCCTAATAAAACATTCCCGATTATATTTCATGGGGTCATGGGTGAAGATGAGAGGGAGGAGAGAAGTCCGTCTTTCTTTAATGCAGCAGAAGTTGACAAGGTTTGGCATTACATCCAACTCCTGTTGAACAAAAAAGGCTATCGAGTGAATCAAAAAGATATTGGAGTTATCTCCCCATACAGGAAGCAGGTAATAAAAATGGATTTCATACATAGTTGGAAAAAATGTGAAATATCTCCTCAATGGCTTTCGTCAAATACAAGGCTGTGGTCTTGTTTAACAAATATATGGTCATTTGACGAGAAATTTCATCAGTTATTTCAGATCATATTCTGTCTCTGATGGAGAATTGACTTTTAATAATTTTGTTTTTAGGTCCAAAAGATCCAAGCTTTACTCAGGAGAAATTCACTTCGTGACATCACTGTTGGGTCAGTGGAGGAGTTCCAAGGTCAGGAGCGAGTGGTCATCATTGTGTCCACTGTTCGTAGTGACCCACAGTATCTCTCTCTAGACATCAGATATAAACTTGGATTCCTGAAAAATGAAAAGGTTAGTCAATGTTATGTGTTCATAGATATTTCAGTGTAAGTTTAGATTACAGTTTAGATCTGGGAGCTTAAGATTTCCAGTCAGTAACTCTCAAATGTAAAAAGAAGATTTTGTTGTGTAAAATAGGATGCATTGGTTTCCTACAATTGTTTAGGATCAGGATCCATGTCACAGAACTCATGATCCACATCTTCATGTGATAGGGAAAATATGGCTGCTTTTATCACAGCTATTGAGAATAAAGGAACAATGTGACAGGATCATACATGTATCATCAGGTGTCCTCATCAGGATAGAAAAAAAGCTTATTTTCATATGTTCCTCTGATTGAACTACAATATGTACTTACTGAATGTTAGTTCATAGAGAATTTTCTCTCTCTGGAGATTCTTTTCTCTGCTGGCGTTTATGATGATTATTATGTATGACAATTTGAACATTGTTTGATGTATGATATGTTGCTTTCTCTTTCACTTTACAGAGATTCAATGTGACCTTGACCAGAGCCAAAGCCTTACTGATTGTCATAGGAAACCCACAGACCCTGTCACATGATAAACACTGGAAAAGGTTTGAGTTCTTTGTCTAACTTTGTCACATGATAAATATTGGAGAAGGTTTGAGTTCTTTGTCTAACTTTGTCACATGATAAATATTGGAGAAGGTTTGAGTTCTTTGTCTAACTTTGTCACATGATAAATATTGGAGAAGGTTTGAGTTCTTTGTCTATCACTGTCACATGATAAATATTGGAGAAGGTTTGAGTTCTTTGTCTAACTTTGTCACATGATAAATATTGGAGAAGGTTTGAGTTCTTTATCTAACTTTGTCACATGATAAATATTGGTGAAGTTTTGAGTTCTTTATCTAACTTTGTCACATGATAAATATTGGTGAAGATTTGAGTTCTTTGTCTATCACCGTCACATGATAAATATTGGAGAAGGTTTGAGGTCTTTATCTAACTTTGTCACATGATAAATATTGGAGAAGTTTTGAGTTCTTTATCTAACTTTGTCACATGATAAATATTGGAGAAGTTTTGAGTTCTTTATCTAACTTTGTCACATGATAAATATTGGTGAAGATTTGAGTTCTTTATCTAACTTTGTCACATGATAAATATTGAAGAAGGTTTGAGTTCTTTGTCTAACTTTGTCACATGATAAATATTGGAGAAGGTTTGAGTTCTTTATCTAACTTTGTCACATGATAAATATTGGAGAAGGTTTGAGTTCTTTGTCTAACTTTGTCACATGATAAATATTGGTGAAGTTTTGAGTTCTTTATCTAACTTTGTCACATGATAAATATTGGAGAAGATTTGAGTTCTTTATCTAACTTTGTCACATGATAAATATTGGAGAAGGTTTGAGTTCTTTGTCTAACTTTGTCACATGATAAATATTGGAGAAGGTTTGAGTTCTTTGTCTATCACCGCCACATGATAAATATTGAAGTTTTGAGTTCTTTATCTAACTTTGTCACATGATAAATATTGGAGAAGGTTTGAGTTCTTTATCTAACTTTGTCACATGATAAATATTGAAGAAGGTTTGAGGTCTTTATCTAACTTTGTCACATGATAAATATTGGAGAAGGTTTGAGTCATTTTCTTACACTGTCACTTTTTTCAGATTTTAAGTAGAAGTGACATGAATTGTAGTAGAGCATCTTTTCATATGATTATTATGTTGTTCAATGAATGAATCAATGTTATTTGTTTAAGACAGCTGCAACATCATTTGTTGACAAGGAAATGACATCGCACACATACTACATAGTAACCATGGAGACCCTAGATTTACTAGTATTTGGTTTTTGAACTCATCCTGAGTTTTTCATTCCAGTTGACCGTAAAAATGAAAAAATCTTGAACCGTTTCAATCATTCTCATATGAAATGGCAATGTTTGTAAGTGTAACACAATGACTAAACACGGTGTTTACTTGGGTTAACCGAAATGTTTATTTCATCGTATAGTGGTTTTCCATAGTTAGTACTTCGCGTTAATATCCATTACAAAAGATAGTTCCTAATCGACATACAGCAGCATGTCGTGGCACCAAAAATAAATACCTGTGTAAGGCAGACAAAAACTAAACACCTGCCTGTCCATATCAA